ATGAAAAAGGGTGTTTCCTGTTACACCTGCAGGACCTTAACTACTCATAAAGAAGCCATTGAGCTTGCTGAGAGCTACAGCCAGTAGGAGCTTCTGAACATATAATCCCAACTTCAGGCTAAGAACAGTATCGCTTCCACAAGTGGAGGCACAGGACATATCTAAAGATCAAAAACCTGAAGACAAATAATCAGGACAAGAAAAAAAGAAAATGCAGTGACTCATAGCTGTTATGTAATTGCTCACAGCATAATTTCATCATTCCTTCAGCTACCCTCCCTATCAGCTGCCAACTCCCTCCTTTTGCAGTAACTGATCACCTTAAAAAACAGATTGACTTTAAATGTTGGAAGGATAGGAAGGATAAGGCACAGAGGGCAATCAACAGACTCAAATTTAACAGTTTCCATTGACAGAAGTAATTTGCTGAATCACCAGATACATGCAAGTTTACAAGAAATACCGTATCACAAAGCTGGTCATCTCTTATATGAAAATACAAGATTTGTTTCATCACGCAAATGTTAAGCATAGCACGTGCAGGAGAAGTGCAGAAAACATTAAAATGGAGACTATAAAGGGAATATGAGAAGAGATGGGTGTCTGCTTTTGTGCCATGTTCGTAACTTTTATATACACATATATAGTGTTTAGGCTGCTCAAATAGTTCTAAAGGCAGTTTCACTTCTAGAATTTAAATTCACACATTTTTCTTGAGATGCAAAGAATTAATTTAGTAATACTGTTTAGTCACATTGGGGAAGCAATAGGAAGTTCAAAGCTTAGTTGGAGTTGAGACTTAAAGAGAAAGTTCTATAACTCCATTAGTGGTAAAAGAATGACCCTGCCTGGGCTAGTAATCAAACTGAGGCTCTTCCCAGCATGGGTTGTCCTATGAACATAATAGTAATTTCAATACTGATTGTATTAACTTAGTTACTTCAACATTTAGTACATTAGTAACTTAGTTCATTGAATTATACAGAAAAAATACACAAAATGGTAATGAAGTGAAAAAGGTATACATGACTCAGAAATCCTTTTTTATGGGAACATACACTATAAGCCCAAAAGTTGGTTTCATAAATATTCTCCAGTATTTGTCTAAACTTCACCATAGCTACAAATATTGAAGTAATTTATATTCCATGAATACCCTAGTGATTGAATTCATCCAATATTCATTTGCCACTTTTGCATGCATTCACAGAGCAGTAGTTAGAAACACCAAGGTCTGTTAAAATCCCATAAATTGGTGCAAATTTACATCATGTTTCAGATGTCTGCTCACTGTCCCAGAAGATACATTATAATGTATTTCAATACACAGGCTAAAACTTTTGGTCTATTGTATTATGTGGGTAAAAATCCCATTAACATTAATGCATCTGTATTTTATTCCAAGTCAATGACTGGTCAGATACAAATGACAAAGATTTTCCTGCAAAGAGGCTAACTTCAACTAAGACATCATTCAGGGGAGAAAAAATGAACTGAAGTATATAAGAAAGAAAAACTGCTAACCCTTGCTTGTTCCCCCTTCCTTCAACCTGTAGTATTTTTCCCCTTGTAATTAATATCGAGCCCTTTCCCCTACCCATATCAGTTTTAATAGAATGGGAATTACGTAGCAGTAATTACTTTTTGCTTTCTTCCACTTAAGATGTTTCACATTCTGTATTGTTACATTACTGCTACATTAAATGCCTTCATGGCATTCTGCTGAAAATATGTTTTGCAGGCACATTTTTAAAATGCTTTCAAAGAACTTCAAAAATACAAATATCCTCACTAGCTGCAGACTTACGAAAGTCAACATTCATAACTAGAAACAATAGTATAAATGTATATCAAAAATTTTGTTTCTGACATCAGTCTCTGATAATAAAATTCCTGATTATTACCTCCTGGTATCCGAAAGCCACACAAGAACATGAATTACTGCCTCAGACAATAGCTTCATTTTACTCTCAATCGCTTCCACAATGGAGCTGTTCTTACGTTCAAAGAATTCCTGCATTTAAATTGAGCTTCATTTAAAATTCATTCTTGGCCTTTTTTTCCCCTTAAAATCTGGGGAGATAACTGTGGATATCCAGAGTAACAAACTCGTGATTAGCTGTGCAGAGCAGACACAGATGCAGTTCCATACCAAACATAGTAAACAAGGTCTGTTTATAAATTCTAAAACTTTTCAATTACCAACATAAGGCACAAAACTTATTTTCTTATGATTGTTATTCTTTACTAGAAGGCAGTGTTCCCTCAAAAGTCTTCGTTCTGCTCCCACTGCAGTCACTATCTGATTTTCCACTGATGACTCTACACTATACCACAGAGCCCAGACTTAAGGACTCAGGAGGAGAACTGTGAGCTCACCACCCGTGTCTGACCTGAGACACATCAGGCTTTTTGCTTCATTTGCAGGTTACAGCTTGGTCAGTTTGAAAATTAAACATAGAAATAACACAAACGCACTCACTATCCTATTATGCAGTACATGGAAAAGAAAGCTACAACTTGAACACAAACAGGTAATCACTAATTTTCTGAATCTGGCATTCCCCTGACATGTCTTCATTTTGCTTTCAGTATAATCTGAAGTTTTCAAATGGGAAATGAAAAACCTATGGCCTACTGTTCATAAATACATCAACTCTCTTCAGTCTAGAGATTTCTATTCCTCTAAATGTCATTAAACATATTGCAAAATCTCATTAGACTCTCTTCTGTTTGCCAGTGTTTACCTAACTGCCAAAAGTTTTCCAGCAATGCACTCTTTTGGCATTAAACAACAGATTCTACCAAAAAAAAAAAAAATTTGTATTACTACACTTCTTGACAGTGAAATTACACTCCACTTTAAATAATATACACAATACACTCCACTAAAAAACAAAGACTACTTTATTCCTGCACTTGATGCTGCCATCCTACTCAGTCTACAAAAAAAAGCTAAAAACTCAGTATTATCTGAATTGTTCTACAGAAGAGACTTTCAACTTAGATTTTGCATCAAATTCTCAGTTTTATTACCTTCCTTGCTGCTATGGACTATTGACTCTATAATAAACAGAGGCTCCATACAGAATGAAAGTCTAGCAAAATGCAGCCAAATTAGGAATTGTGGAAGGCTGGCCTTGACAATTTTCAACCTGGATATGCCTAACAGATTTGCTATCCATCAAAGTGCGTATTTAAAAGACAACTGTTGAATATTCAAGAGTAACTTTGATCTACTAAAAATTGCCATTAATGATTTATCAGTAGCAGTTAAGACTTATCAGAGCCACTGATATTTTCCAGAGTCCTTGGCATAAGCTACTTGTGAGCTTAAACTTGCGTGGTAAGGCCGTGGCTACTGGAAGCTACTGGAAGTGGGGAGAGAACAGATCCACAGTCTAATACCTGCAGATCCACTCAGGCAACAAAGCCCAAAGACAAAGAAGATTAAAAAAAAACTCTAGCATCTGTGTTTGAGAGCAGATCAGTTGCTAAAATCCATTTCCCCATCTTGCTCAGGGCTCAGGATGTTATAGAGGATATGCCTTTATTCAAACACTGTGATTTGAGTCCAAGTACGACTTCTGCTCGAGCTAACAGCACAACAGGGACTGTGCTGTACTGCACTTTCAGTGGGATTAAAATGAGTAAATAATTTAGATTTAGAATGCAGTAGAGTGTACGTTTCTTCATGCACGTGGTTTTTTGTGTATTTATAAATCAGATACTCTACAGAAAAAAAAAGCAGAGGAATTATTTGTAAAGGTCCAACATTATGTATTTGTCCTTGTTTGTGAAAGTTGCTGATGACCAGCTGACATATGAACATTGATCCAACTTGAACAAGAAATTGTCTGAACCAGGAGCAACTCGATATCATGCTACCAGATGGGAAGCCTAATCACCATGGCTTCTGACACTGATACAATAAACAAAGTGTGCAAGCAGACAGACACCTTATTGGAACACACATCAATCCATTCTTTAAGGGAAAGATTGTGTTTTCTGGCATCTACATTCAGCTCTCTTAAAGTGTAAGATACATTTTTTGTGCTAGCTTTTAAATACATTGAACTGGGAAGCTAAACTAAGTAGGAGAAGACGTGAAGTCTGCCTTCTACACATTCTCAGATGATTTTATATAATTCAAAAGAAAGATACTGGAAAGGAACACAACAATACGTACAGGATTTTTTTTTTATTTTTTTTTAAGGCAGAACTTGCTTTCCACAAGCCCCATACTAATAATTGCCTTGTAGGTAGCAAAATGCTCACAGAGAGCAAAGAGGGATTTAACATATACTATTTCAGCAAGACAGAGAAGGGTAGAAAAACCTAAGCTCTGAAGCAAGGCAGAAATAGACCAGATAAACTCTAAAATCTCTTGATCTAGTTTAAAAAAAAAACAGCAGTCATGCAGTAGTACCCATGCAAAAGGTAGAGCAGCTACTGCAAGTAATGAAGTTTCAGTACTCTTGCCTGTGCTTAAAAAAATTTAATTGTCATTCACAAGAGTTGAGACATCAAGTTCTTATTATGCCTTATTTCAATTTGTCAGATTTCCACAACACTTAAACACAGAACGTCCTCAAAACAGCACACTAAGAGCAGCAAACATTTCACAGCAAGACTACATTAAATCTGCTAAAACTCTGGTTTTATAAGAAAACAACATAACTTTGTATTTATTTGGCTCTAATATGAGCAAAATAAAACAATAGGTATTAATCTAGAAAAGATCATTGAAAAATTGAAGATCATTGAAACCTGATCTTGAAGTGATAACCACAGATGTTCTTCTAATAATTTATCCAAATTCTTTAGGAAAATCACCAGGAAACCAGCTATAGCTTGTGGAATACTCAACTCAGAAAGCCTAGCCATGTTGGCCCAGTATTAAGTCTTTTCCCTACGCCAAGAAAGAAGCAGGGCTTCTCTAACAGGCAAGTTAGGATTCTATTATTTTTATATAGGATCCCGATTTTCCCAAATCTTACCTCCAGAATCCCATTTGATTTTATCCTGAGATTTGTGAGTGGTGTACATTTGAGATCCTCTCCGCAGCAGCCGGTGTTCGCCAGTCAAAGAATTCCCCAAGCAGCTTCCGTTCCCTGTTCCTCATTGAAGGCTGCATAGCTCCCCAGGACAGTCAAGAAACATAGTTGCTATGGAGGAAAGGGAGACAAACCCTTGATTAAGTAAAGCAGCTGAGAAAAAAATTAACAGATTTAAAGTACATAGGTAAACATTCACAAGGAATACCAGCAAACCAAAACTCAGTTCAAACAGCTCAGGCAAACTGACTCTTGCCAACATTTCTTTTTGCCTAAGTTCTACCTTGCTTCCTCTCCTGATAGCCCTTGAAGTGCATTTCTGTTTTAAACCATCAAGAGCTCTCTTTGTGAGCAAACACAAATTATTAAAAATAAAACTAGAAAAAAAAACCCTGTAGTGTAGCCTCCTTTCCCAAACTGTTATATATATTGCTAATAAGACTCTTCTGGCCAAAAGGCTGCTACATCATATTTACCTCCAGAAGTGACAAATAATCACTGCTTCAACAGAAAGCACTCATCTTGAGTCAGAAATTGTGGATAAGAGGAAGGCAAGCAGTATATTTGCTTAGCCATTAATACAGGCTGAGAATATAAACTATCAAGAAATTTACCATCTCCCTACCACACATTCCAGTTACAGCTACACATTTTAAACACACAACGTATTTCCTTTCCAAAATATGCAATACAAAGAGAAATAACTATAACAAGAATAGAAGCACTGGTATTTTTCATATCTTGCCACAGAATTATGATTTTGTTAACTCCACCAAATTCTAAAGAAAAAGGTGAGATTAGTTTGACTAAGATTCAGTGTCAGAGTGCATGAAAGCTGAATGAATGAAGGAAAGAACGACTGTGCCTGCATCTTCAAAAATTCAGGTGGGCTTGCTTTGTTGTTCCTTTGTTTTCAATCTTTTATAGAGCTTTGAGGCCACCATGGGAGGCATCCAGGCAGGGAGGTTTATGCCAGTTACTAAATGATTGAGGTACAACTTCAGGAGTCCCCGGAGCAGAGGTCAGGGACTCCTCATTTTATCAAAAAAGAGAGAGAAAAGATTAAAGGTGGATAAAGACAAAAGATGACATATATTCAAATAAAGAGAGAAAGAAAAAACTCAAGCAGACACAAAACTGTGCATGAGAGAAGAGCTGGGTTTCATCCCCAATCAAAACTAGTGTCATCAGTGCACTGAAAGATTTGAAGTTGCCTTGTTTGCATCACTGTATTTGCCACTGCAGCTTTTCTTAAATAAAAGTCAATGTACTCTAAACTTTAGTTTTTCCCATTTTAACTGTTTCGCTTTTCATAAGCAGAAGATTAGACTACTTCAGTTCACTTGCATACACTTCTTGATTCTTCAGTTTAGTTAGTATCAAATGTAAGCTTGGATGAAGACAATGAATTGAGGCTGCATTTGGGCAACAGTAAGCATGCAAGTTAGGGTCAATGCATGGACAATCTCTTGGGGTGTGCAACCTAACACAAAAACTAAGGGCTTGGGAGTATTTTCTTGTCAAGTTTCCAGGTCCTCTTGGAAGGCTGACAGACACTGAACTTCACAGCACTGAACTTACAGAAAAGAAGTGGGGACTGGGAGTTGACACATCAAATGCACAGATCTGAAATTGATACTAGGGGTAAATTTTGCCTGTGCCGCTAGATTTTGCATGCTGTGTTATAGATCTGTCGAGCAAGTCATGGAATGCATAAAATATAAAAATATAAAAATAATATAAAATAATAAACAATAATAATATATATATAAATAATATAAATAATATATAAAAATAAACATAAATAATATAAATAATAAAAATATAAAATAATTAAAAAAATATAATGTAAAATATAAAAATATAAAAATGCAAAATACAGGAAAATAGACGAGTAGTCAGAGAGCAACAGCTTATTCTGCTAGTGAATCTTCACAGGTCAGTGGAGATGATGAAATTATGACTGCAATTGCCAACATGGCAATCTGGTCACTGGTGATCTCTATGAAACCTGCATTCTGTATAGTTTAGGACACAGCAGTACTGACAAGCAGACCACTCTTTACACAGAAATGAACAAAAGCAGGTGGCCAGTTCAGCTGTTTCTAATGTTCAGAGGTAACTTTATTTGCCTAGACTCAGATTTCTTTCAATGCCAGTATGGAAAGGGGACAAAAAGGACAGGATCGTGTTTAAAAGTAGGCTTGCAGATGAGAGAGAGAACATGGCTATCATCAAAAAATAGAAGAATATATTCTGGCAAAATGAAGGATATTCAATCTAAATGACCTTGGAAAGCCTCAGTTCTGGTTCTCTTAGTACTGACAAAGACTTCTTAAGATTCATTTGTGTTTAAACGTTATCAGGCCTGTTGTGGGTACAGGAATGCTGTTTCCAAAACTATTTTAGAGCACAGTTCTTTAAAGACATGGCTAATCAATTATTATGTAAATATGGGATTTAATTTGGATTTATTTTATTTAAACCTATCAGAGGCTGCATTATTTGATGACTGCCTAGCAGACACTGTGACACACCACATGATGTCAGACTGCTTTCTGGAAGACAATCCCCTAGGTCAAATTAACAATGCCAGTCCCTCCTTGCAGCCTCCCTCAAGTTTCATAATTACCAGTTATAATTAACCCAGAAAACTAATTAGCACATTGTTGTTCCATGTTACACCACTGACTATTGTAGTAAAGAAGGGATCCCTTTATTTCTCATGGGTACTAAAATGGAAAATAAGCAGTGTCCAGCTCAGGTGACAGTTGTGGTTATTTGTGCTGGAATTAGAATGTCAACTTAGATGAAGACGAGGCTAAATTATGTTTTTTATTGGTTAGAAAAAAAATCTACAGAGTCAAGGCCAACTGCTCCCCGCCCTGTGGCATACAAAGCCTTCATGGGGAAAAAAAGTTTAGTAGTTCTTCAAAATTACACAAAAATGGAAGTGATTTCACTTAATTAATATCCTTGTAATATTGTACATTACAAAGCAACTACATAACATTAGATTGTAATAAAAACATTAGTTTAATTAAAGTTTTCTGTTGCCTATATACCAACTGTTACAACCCTCAAGAGAATTCTACAGAAAAGAGCAGCACACGCAGTGCAGATCTGCATCAGGAAACAGGTGAGTCAGAGCAACCTTAACCCAAACATACAGGTAAAAATGATTTATTTTAATGCTAATTTTAACTCACGGGCACAAATACAAGCAAAATCCTAATCCAAGCATACAAGGAAAATGATTTTGCATAATACTGATTTTAATTTGTAGACGAAAGAACAAATACTTTGGTCACAGATATTTAGTCATTACTGGAAAAAAAAAAGCATGTCTATAAAACACCAAGACAGCATTTTCCAGCTGCTAGAGAACAAAACAGTATATAATTATTCCCTTCTCTTTTCCTATACAAATGATATTATAACCTAACAATCAGCTCCAGACACTTGTAAAGCTCTCTAAAGGGGTAAGCAGTCTGTTTTGTATGGTCTCATACCACAGAACAGATCACTAGTTGATTTTTGAGAAACTTAAAGGTGCAGCTCAATATTATTTGCAATGTCCTACTTTAATCTAAGGAGATTAATGGCCTTGGTTTTTTCTACATATTCAATGAACAGAGAGAAAGGATCCCCTTCAATGCAGTTAAGATGCAGAATACTTGTTCTTGAAGAGGTCCTGTCATCTCTGTCATCTACAGAGGAGCCTAGGGAAGCCAGGCTCCCCAGGATAAAACTAAGCTATGCAAAATCCTTCTGTTTCCTCCACTGCACACTCTGCCTTCATCTTATCTTGTATCTGTGATTGTTTCCAGCCCATAAAATATATATAGATAAATATCGATATAGATTAGTTTATCTTAATAACTCTCCTTTTAGAGATGTGAGAGCATTGTGTATGCTCACATCAACTTTCCAAACACATTTCTACAGGAAAGTATGGATACAGCTTGGTTATTTAGGTACTTGGCTGCAGGGAAAAGATGGCATAGAGTCAAACCACTGCTGTAGGTCTGCCCCACGAGCAGGCTCTCACTCATGGTTAGGGTGAAGAAATAGAATTCTTTTTCTGGTCACACTTACTTCCCTCTTCTTGCAACTTCTGAGCAAGTACTTCAGTATTTTCTAGATCAGAATAGAGGATGAATAGAAGTCAGGAAGAACTGAAGTTACAAAAGCTAAAATACCCTCATTCTTTAAACTGCTTAAAGATAATTACACGAAATTATGACTATTAATGCAGGGAGCTGCAAATATACAATTGTTGCTAACCTTGAATTCCAGCAAGTGTTTGTTTACACTTGAGAGCTTCTATACTCTTTCTGAATAAAAGTCTTTCTGTACTGTTTCAATCTGACGTGTTAATTGTCCCCTCAAATTATCTTGTACATTTCAGTGACTGGATAAATACACTGTGCTGTAAGCTAATAGCCATGTTAGGCTTCTGAAGAACAAGATTATTCACAGACGTTACAAAGCTGTACTTCATGCCATATGCAGTAGTGGTGTGTGATACCAAAATGCTCTTTTATGGAATTATTTTACTGGATTTTTTATTTTATTTATTTTTTTTTTTAAAGAGTAGAAGCTGTATATAATACAGTCTCAAATCTAGCTTGTAAATAGATTAATAATAAATTACAGAATATTCATCCTTAACCCCCCCCCCCCCCCCCCCCCCACACACACACACACACTCTAATCACTTATTTGAGTAGCCCTGCTATCATCACTCATTAGTATGGGCACAGAGATCACAGCCTGCCCTTCCCGCACTGGTCTCTTTTTCACTTGAATTGATAGTTACAGAGCACAGTGCTTCTATGTTTTTCACCCCAGTCATGGTGTTCATTTGTCAGACATAAATTACACATGGTTAAAAAAAAGGATTTTGAAATACAATAGGCTTTTCCACTAACACCATGCTTTAAAGTCTGATATATATTTTACAGTGGCTTGTTTCCATTCACTATAGTTTTGAGCATAGTCACATTTCGTGCTTCCACCAGGATGGGGTAGAGGGGAGGAAAACAGTGCTTTTTCCTCAACAGACCTTTTTTAAGCTGTTTAATTATCATTCGAGTTAAAATTACTGT